ATGTATAGTTGCTGCACAAGAAAAATATATGTGATTGTTAGCCACTATATATGTATAATATTAAAAAAGAAAAAGGTGTTCAAGCTAAGATTAATTATACTAATAATTGATGTACATGTACAAGATTAATGACATTGAGTTGAAGTTAAGATTGATGTTAAATAGCTTGTTAGGTACCTGTCTTGGGGGAAGATTTTAGGACAGTGTTCGAGATAAAAATTGTTAATGTCTTTAGCAGCAAACAAGGGTCGATCATTTTCATCTGGGGTAGTAAGCATGGCAGTCACAAGCCCACCAGTGCTAGTCCCTGCAATCACATCAAAGTAATCTGCAAGCCTTGCTTCTTCACCATCAAGCTTCTGCATATGTGGCAAAGTTCAAGTGAAAATAAATTAGCTAGACCATTATTTTAAACATTATTAATTAAAGTTAAACTATGGGTTTTAATATATAAGCGTAATTACCTGAAGCTCGGATTCTAGGAATTTGAGTATAGTTCCGGGAATAATCCCTCTAATTCCACCTCCATCAATGCTCAGCACGGTGACGATGTTCCCGTAAGTGGGAGACTGAAGAAATGATCTTTCTCTCTCCATTTGACATGAAAGGAAAGGCATATACCGAATGATGCACAACACAGGAAAGGTATAGGAGAGGTACTCGGAAGGAAGAGTGCTTATTTATTATGAACTAATGAATAAAACTGCAGAGAGAATAAGCTTGAACCCTAAAAGAAGGCTGATGATGATGGGATTTATTGAGTTTAGTAACCTTGAGCACCTAGCTATGCCTTATATAGAGATCTTTTCCCCTTCCAACTTTGACCCTAAATTTGTATGCATGTCGCTATAACGAGTTTTATGTTGGACCACTTCTCCGTCAGACTTTTCTAATTAAACACTGCATTCGTGTCATGTGGACATATTTGATCAGTACTGTTTTTATTGGTCAATCTCAATTGTTGAAAAATTAGGCCTGAAATTTGTAGGGATTTCTACGAAGCCATTATTGATAAAAAGGGAATTTTTGTTGTTGAACAAGCATCTAAAAAGGTTGATGATAAGTATAATGGTTGGTGATCAAAGTTTAAATATGTGTCTAGACTTTTGACTAATATCCTCAACTATAATAAATATATATATAGAAATTCTCATATTCGGATGTCCGGTTGTTATTACCATGCAGACGTATGCCATGTATTTTTTATTACCTCTTTATGCTTTCCTCCCTATTTACAATGCCATGAGCACAATAATAACGTGCGGATATCTTAATGAGAGAATATATATATATCACATGAAAATATGGAAGTATATAAATAATTCCCAAAATTACGAAGGGGTAGTGCTCCAAACCTAATTACTCTAAAGCCGACCCAGATAGCCAACCCTTACATAAGAATTAGCAACAGATTAGGGGTGCAAGTGGTATTTAACATTAATTAAGTTCCACCACTTCGATGGAGAATCGTCAAAAGGCCCGGAAGAGTTTAATAAAATAATACTGGGTGATGATACAAAGGTTTAGCTTAATTATTATTCAACTATATAGCTGTAGCTAGCTGGTATTATATTGGTGTTTTGGCAATTGATTTACATGCTAGCTTTGATAAGTATGAGGAGGAGAGGTTCCTTCAAATGAAATGAAGATGCTTCTTTTTCCTTGAGACTGGGTCAAGACCTTTCACAATCAGTCCTAACCCAAGTCGTCCAAAATAGTAAACACCATGGAAACTTCAGGAGTTAAGTGACACATTACCTAGCTAATAATTTTCTCTCAAAAATATATTGTGAGGCTTTTCAAATTAAATTTGTGGGTGAGCACTTTTGAGAAATTTTAAAGAAACAAGAAGGAAGAAAAAAAAAACAATGAGAAGACAGTTCTCGTGGGAAAAAATAAATTTTATGTCTGTGTTTCGCAATTACCAGAAGTTAGGAAATTTCATAAAACTCTCTCCTGCAATACTTTTTTGGTCGAAACAAAAGAAAGTTCTCATGTATATGGACTTTTCTCATGTACGGAATGAGAGAATTTTCAGCAATATTCTTTATGCATAGCTTGGCCGGACATTAAATATACCAAAATCCATTAGGCCTGTAAAGTGGCATTTAATATTAATTAAATTTTCACCACTTACATGGAGAATCGTCAAAGGCCCAAAAGATTTGAATTCTTCGGGTGGTGTTACAAAGGTTGTTAGTTGATCTAGGGCCCAAATTTTCCAACAATCTTTAGAGTAGAATTTGGATGCTACTCAAATTATTTCTATAACTAGGATTCCATGTAGAGGATCTCCTGAATTTTATAAATTTGTAGTGGAGGCTGAAAAAGAGTCCCAGACTTTGATGAACAATGAAAAGGGAAAGAGGCGAAATCCCAAAAGAAGCTTTCAGAGGGGTGTCACGAGAATGATTGGCGTTGCCAAATAAGTGTTTCCCTGTGTTTGGTTTGAGAACTGGGTTTTCAAGGCAGCATGTCTCATGCGTAGTATTATTTTGTTGACGCATCTAGTGATAAAATTGCATATACATTACTGATTTATTGATTTAGTTTTTCAGCAGTACATTACCTTAATTTGCATATAGAACTTAAGGCTTTAATAATATATGTTATTGCTTATTGTCGATTTGGTATCTCACCATATTTGTTTAAAGCATATTTATTTCATGTCATTTGTAATATGACGTTGAGAGCTCTTCAATTCTTCATATTATTTACTTTGGCCCTACAAGAATCTATTGTTTTGTAATTTTGCTGATACATTGTTGAAGGAATTAATAGGTTTTAGTAGATGCCTTTCTATCTGTTAATGTATGAATTTTGATTAATTCTTTTGGCTTCCCTTGAAAATTTTGTAATAGGATTTTTATTGTATTTATCAAGCTCAAGGTTTAGATTAAGAATAGCATCTCTAGGTGTTCTTAACTATCATCTATCCTATGGAGGTTCAAGCAAATTGACAAAGGTAAATCATGCATTGCATATCATGCATTAAACTGTTTTCATAAATGATGACTAGTCATCCTTGCTCTGTAGGATTTCCAGCTAGTTAACCAACTGTTTTGTCCTATTCTCTTTTCTCTCTCTGCTGCCATGTGTCATTCTGACCTAAGGGATTCTTTTGTCTGTAAAGGCTAGTGAATTCCTTTTTTGGCAGCCATCTCTTTTGTGTGGAAGTTTTGGAAAGATTGGCTTGCCATCTTTCTCTTCTTCTTCCTCAAGAGTGAACCATATATTTCATCTATGAGTTTTTCTAATTGATTTATTTTTGAAAAACTGCATTTGAAACATGAATCTACATCTAGCTATTTAAATCATTCTCACATTTATATCTAGGTCAGATTCAAGACTGATTTCTTCAAGAGTATGGTTTCTTGAAGAAATTGGTTATTCTCCCTTGAATCCAAATTTTGGTTTCAGTCTGAGTTGGAGCTTGCAAGCTAGTGCCATGGGATGAATGAGCTGGAGAAGGAGCTGCCATTGCCATGAAGAACTGAGCTTCAAGCTTTGCTAAGTTGGAGAAGAAGATTGCACAAAGGAGGTA